AACTGGCATGGGCAATCATGCCTCTCCACAATCTGCGATCTCCTGCAGCATGTATCAGTTTGTGTGCCGACACACCTCCATGCCATGCAACAAGACTGTCAAGAATCTTCTCTCGTTGTCTTCATCTATCCCTACTTCCACAGATCTTTCGAGTGGTTACAACATGTTCTATTTTCCCTCTGCTCATAACATGGCCAAAAAATGATGACTGTCTTTTTCTGATGTCTGTGATAAGTTGTCTTCGGGCTCGGGCCTCTTTCAAAACCTCTCGGTTGCTCTTTTTGGCTGTCCAAGGTATTCAAAGCATTCTTCTGTAAAACCACATCTCTGAGGACTCATCTTCTAACAGAGTATTATGCATAAATGGCATGTATTAAACAAAACACATGACAGTCTGCTTTTAAATTTGTACCATTATTAACAAGAACACTTTTGCATGCCTAAATGAAACATTTATTTCTTTGACCCTTGGGTTAATTTGCAAAGATACAATAGTTTTTCTCAGTGTGCGGCCTGTTCAGCACTAGTGTTTTTTCCTTGCTTCTAATTTAACTTGAATTTACTTAGTTTCTTTCCAGAACTCTGCAATAGCAATTCAGTGATGCCACTTAGCTCTTTATATTTTGCATATGCATAAGTTAATTAACGTTTGTAGTTTATTAGCATTTGCTTTAATTGTTCTCATCCGTGACATCCAGTCCTGTAGGCTAGATATCTGAATGATCTTTTTGAAACTATTTCGCTTGTTTTTCTTTTTCATTTGATCTTCATTGTTTGTAAGAACTTTCAAATGATTCGTTTTTTTAATCAGAATTGTAATTGTAATGAAACAATTTTCTTACTATTTTCTTGTCCTACAGTAATGATCTCGGTTTCCATGTGCAGCTGCTGCATCTGCCTCTTCTGCTAGATAACAGTGTCTTTTGTTCATTATGAGCGTATCTGCTGAAAAACATTCAGATCTAGAAGTACATGGCAGAAACATCACAGTATTATAAAACTGTACTTGTATGAAGTATGTTATTAAGGATTTTAATGTAATGCTAAGGAAAGCTGTTTGGCCCTACTAACTGAAGTAATTGTTTCTCCATTATAATCATGTGATGTTTTATTATTGTATAAACTGTAATGACATGTGAACATGGTGAACATGACCGCATGGTATTGTACAAGAAGATGATCAATATGAATATCACATTAAAAAAAATAATTGTAAAATAAATTGTACAATCTTTGATAGATTTTTCAGTAACTGAATATATGTATTTAATGAAGGGGTAATAAAAGGGCAAGTCAAATTGAGACCATGAAATTGTAGATATTCAGAAGTATATGTCTAATTTCCTGGAAACATAAATCGAATACATAGATTCTAGAGATATTAGTAATCTTCTTCATGTTCACCAGCTGTAAACTGCAATGCAAAGTTCTGGTTGTTTTTCCACCTCTGGACCTTAGTCTTCTTCCAGAACCTGAGTGTTGCATGCACATCTGTTTTACAGATCTAAAATATTTGTGTGCAGACTGTTGGTTCCCTGCATCTCAGGCAGATGCACTCTGACTTCAAAGGAAGCCTTCAATTAGTCAACTCTTACAACATGTTTGTCGGTGGGCAGTGGGTCTATTCTTGTTTTTCCTACAATAGGATTCTGGAATCCACACAGGAAAGATGTAATGAAATAAGAATTGTTAAAATAAATAAATAAGAGATAAATCTTTACTTTTCAGTAGCAAAATATTTCTCGGCTCTGTGACTGATGTTTACCCCCTCAGGTTTGACACCGATGCAAATAAAAGAGTCACATCCTGGATGCTAACTTGACACCCTTGCAACTAAAATAGTCACATCCTGGTTGCTAATTTGACATCATTGCAGCTAAAAGAGTCACATCCTGAATCCTTGCAACTAAAAGAGTCACATCCTGGAAGCTAATTTGACATCATTGCAACTAAAAGAGTCACATCCTGGAAGCTAGACATCCTTGCAACTAAAAGAGTCACATCCTGGATGCTAATTTGACTTCCTTGCAACTAAAAGAGTCATATCTCGGATGTCACTCCAGCAGGGCAAATCCAAATCTTAAGAAGTTTTATTTAGACTTTTGTTTAACTTGGTCATTGACTGGCGGGTAAAGGAAGCTACACGAGATTGCACTAGAGGATTTGGACTATGCAAATGACAACAGTCTTTTATCAGTCCTTTATGTAGACACTTAGAAAGAGACTAAAAGACTTTCAACAATGGCTCCTGAAAGATAAGACTCAAGATAAATACCAGCAAAACTAAAGTACTGAGAAATAACAATTAGAGCTAGAAATCTGATTCATTAACAAAGAAAGTTTTACGATGTGACTTGTCAGGCTGTCGATCAACAGTCTAAAGCCAGGCCAGAGGAAATTTGTCCTGCCATCCTGGCCAACACCAGAAACCAAGTTCTAAATTAGGTGGCAACGGACATGGAGAGCTCTGACCACTGTGCTATGTGCCACCTTAGACTCAAGAGGAAAGACCAACCAACCAACCAAACAACCAACCAACCAACCCACCAACCAAACTAACCAGCCAGCCAGCTAACCAACTAACTAACCAGCCAACCAACCAACTAGCTAACTAATTAACTAACTAGCTAGCTAAGTAAGCTAGCTAACTAACTAACTTGCTAGCTAACTAATAACTAACTATTTAGCTAAGAAATAACCAGAAAACAGACAATACAGTGATCTGAAATGATAAAGCATTAGAGGAAGTTGAAGAATGTATACACATTGGAAGTAAAGTTACTTTAATATGGATTCTAAAGAATGTACCATGAAAAATAAACAAAGAAAATCAAGCATTTGCCATGCTTAACAATATATGGAAGTCAAAATGGCTTAGTTTAAAGACAAAACTCAGATTATGCAACAGCAACATTTTAGGAATAATAGTGTGCAACAGTGAGTGTTGTAAAGGATAGCAGACATTGCGCATAAACTAGAGAGTGTTAAAAATTGATTTCTGATAATCCTGTGAATATGACATAGGAAAGACAAGGAGGAAGACAGCATGCTCATCACTGACAAACATTATCAAAGGAAGAAGATAGAGATTAACTGGCAGAATGCCTCATGACACTTTGGCAAGGACAGTTTTTTGATGCACAGCAGATTAAAAAAATTATTTAACTATCTACTTGACTTGCAAAGAGGCTAAAGACACAAGGTAATTGTCTGTTGAGGAAAACAGATTTCTTGAGTGTTTTCTTAGGCAAATGTAAACAATTTGAGAAAACACTGTATGACAACTAGTCACATGTAATACACTGTATGAGAACCAGTCACAAGTAACACACTGTATGAGAACCAGTCACATGTAACACACTGTATGAGAACCAGTCACATGTAACACTGCTTGTGGAACAGTGATTTTGGTCACAGGCATGAGGGAAAGTTAAGGCTTTTGTGATGTATCTATGGAGATACTCCAGGGGCCAGCAGACTCTGTGCTGGTTTTACAGATTCTCACACAAGACTCCTGTACTCATCTTCTTCATGTGCTACAGGTAATGGTTTACCTTTGTGACCTAAGCCGAGTTGGCAGGGTATCTCGGAGTTGCTGGTCCCCAGAGATGCAGTGTCAAATCCATCTTTCATCAGCCCACTCCCCATTCATGGGCGAAAACAGCTTTGAAAGCTCATTTGGAACATGAGTAAAGCTGTTAGCCAAATGTACTACCAATTGAAATGAGAAATCTGTGTTAAAACATCTGTTGAGTAAAATAACCACTGAACTGCTGAAACAGCCGTAGACCAAGAGGTTTGCTTGCAGCTTAGATGAGCAATGTCTCTAGTAGGCGGTATCATGGTACAGTTTAGTCTCCGTACATCCTTTGTTGATCCTCAACATGATCGTTACTGCATTGAGGTAAACCACAAATATATGCAGCTGTTTAGGCACAAATGTCCATCAGATCAATATCCTATGACATAGCAGCAAAGTCTTAAATGTCTGACCACAAAATGTCCTACTGTTTGGCAGAAAGGTTCAGATGTCAGTTATCATTGGCCCTACTCCCTGGAGTGTTGGGACCAATTAGGAGAAGCACACTTTTTCCATACTGTTGTGCTAAGTGTCCAGGTGAAACAAAGCTAAAGGTGTCTTAGGTGCGGAAGAAGAATTTACCTATTTGTGTGATCTTCCAAGTTTCAGACCTGCCGGCTTCTCCCAGCTGATCCTGGGGAACAGGTGAGGGGTGCAGTCTGTGATGAGTTGGAAGCTCAATATACAGATGTGAAGTTAAGCAGTAATGTGCAGGACGGGACGATTTCTTGCATGAGCCCATGACCAGAGTATCATGTGTTGGCTTTGCATTTATGGAAGCCTTCTTGAATGGTGGGGAATACACGTGGTCTTCCCCTGACTTTCCTTGAGGGTGATCAGTGTACACATGGATGCCCTGGACAGTTTTCCAGGAGCAACGCCTGTAGATTACGGGACAAGGAGACACCACATAAACAAGGCTACATCATGTCCCTTGAAGTTGAGGCAGTCAACAAATGCTTGATAAAGTTGGATGTGTCGGCCAAAAGGCACAGATATCACAGTTTTGCTGCAAACGGGCACATGGCAGTTGGATGAATGAAAAGAAGTAGCACGCTGCTTGGAAATAAAAGAGTTGATGTTTTATCATTCTTAGCTCTTTCTGCCTCAAGTGATGTGCCATGTATGACAGGATATTTTATTCATTTATAACAACACATTATGTATCTTTTTTAAATTTTTTTAATTATCATGCATTTAGTCAGGGATTCTAAAGAACTACAATGATTGTGTGGAAGTAGTTAACCTGTGAATTTGTTATTGACATCACTGTGTCTCTGTTGTATCAGCTGATTTCTCCCGGAAACAACAAAAATTAAATATATTGACAGCTATGTTTAATTGAAACTTTTATTCTCTCTTTGATCAGTTTAAAACCGCCAAGACTTAAGTACACTATTTGTGCACATGAACACACAAAATGAACTTACCAGAAAATCACTTACCTGTGCTAGAAACAACTATGAACTCTGTGCCACCTTCAGCTGCTCATTCACAGGATGTTCGTCATGTACTTGCCAGATCATTTCAAGATCTGTATACTCGTGACAGTTTTAAGTTTGAAACAATCAACAATTTGAGGATTTCAAAATCAAGTGATGATGCATACCATGAGCAGTATGTGAACAAATTGTTACAGGTTTGTTTCGTGACTTGTAGACAACTATTATAATATATGGCTCTAGTGCATGTGGGAGGGAGTGAGGGAGGGAGGGAGGGAGAGAGAGAGAGAGAGAGAGAGAGAGAAAGAGAGAGAGAAAGAGAGAGAGAAAGAGAGAGAGAGAGAGAGAGAAAGTGGGAGGAGGAGGGCGCTAGCTGTAATTGAGAAGAATTAAATCTTTATTACAAATTTTCAGGAATAATGTTCATTCATACCGTACACAATCATTGAGTGCTTATGTTTGTGTATGTATGTGTGTGTGTGTGGATCTAAATTTACTAATTCTCTTTGGAGGCTCATTGTCCCCTTAGAAAGAAAAACCCCTAATTAATTGACTTTTACAAAAAGCTTGTTGGGAGATAATGGGTTTATTCTTGTCTCCCCCCTCCCCTCCCCCAACAGTGGGGCTCTGAACTCACACATGAATTACAGTTGACCAGCAGGCACTCAGTGAGTGATGTGGTCTGTGTCACATCTGCCATGTTTATTCCCCAGGACATTTTCTGGCCTCCATTGTAGGTTTGGTTGAGCTAGATACCATAGATTAAATTTAATAAATAAGTTTAGCCTTAGTGCAGATTCAAATCCTAGACCTTTGATTCGGTGTGCAAATTTTTATGTACTGTGTTACCATAAAAAATATGTAGTAAATACAACATGAAGATCAATGTAAACAAAACCGAAACAATGCAAGTTAGTAGAACCCCTGCCCCACTACACATACAGCTGAATGGTTCTGCCCTGAATCAAGTTAGGGAGCTTTAATATCCAGGAAGTGTGATCACAGAAGATGGTAGATTTGACAGAGAAATAGAAACCAGATGTCAGAAAGCAAATGCACTTATATACCAATTGTCACCATTATTAAGACATCCAAGCATAACTATGAGTGCAAAGAGACAGATTATTAATAGCATATTCATTCCAACATTAAGCTACCAGTGCCAAACATGGACACTATCAAAAGCCCATATACGCAAAATTACCACCTGCGAGATGAGGTGCCTGAGAAAAGCAGCCAACCTAACCATACCAGATCGAGTGAATAATGAAACTATCAGGCAAATTGTGGGAACGACACCTTGTACTAGATTCATAAAGAAACAGCAGATCAAGTGGTTTGGCCATCTCATTAGGATGCAGCAAGATCAAATACCATCACAAGCACTACATCTCAGAAGATCAACTACAAGAGCAAGAGGACGGCGGCGGAAAACATGGATTGATAACATTAAAGACACTCTATGCCTTCACGGCATGACAATAGCCAGTGGCAGTCAACGTGCACTGGATCGCAAATTATTCCTCCCCACGACACTAAATGGCAGAAGTGGTTTATGATGATGATGATATTACCATTATATCCATATACAGTATGCATTATCTTTAGATTTCAGAGGGTTTACTCAAGATGCCCATGAGGGACAATACCCACCATGAAAAACACACATGAATGTGTTACTTTCGAAGATGCCACACATTCAGTGTTGTATGTTAGCATATTTAGCCATAGACTTTTTGTATGTTCAGTCCACATAATGCTTGATACACACATTTAGCCATAGATCTTTTGCATGTTCAGTCCACATAATGCTTGATACACACAGGCATTAATTAAGCACACATGGTGATGATGACAGAAAGGGTTTGTTTGTTTTTTACTGATATTGTGATGTCAACAAAACTCTCAATGATCTTATTCACTTTGGCTAAGCTTTTATTAGACCTGCAGTTCTGAAACTCTTTATCCTTAAATGGAGCAAAAGTCCTCAACCAGCTCATGCCACATCTTCCTATCCTTTGCATCATGTGCAGCTCACCCCATGTCCTCCCCAACTTCTCACCTCATTTATCTAATTGTGTCTTCCATGTGTTTTAACTTGGACTTTTTTTGTGTTTTAAAACTTACAAGAGTTTTGTATTAAAACCAGATTGAGCTATATGAAATCACTTCTCCAACAGGTTACCACTGAGTGGCAGCAGCGCATGGATGAGATTGCCATGTTAGAGCGACACATCATGCAAGCTCAAGCAAGAGCCATGTCAGCTGATGAGCGCGAACTAATCAGGGCTTCCACCTCATGCGACAACTATAGAAGCCTGGGGTTGCCACCAGGTAAAACCTACACATAAAAGGAATCATTCAAAACTTGATCTCTTCTTGTTTGATTTTTCTCTTATCGTTTATTACTTTGAATTCCAGTGGACAGTTCTGGTTATTCTTCCACTTCTGGACTTTGTTCTCGTTCCAGAATTTAAGTTTTGCTTTTATATAAATTTAACAGATAAGGCTTATTTGTGTGCACACTGCTGGTTCCTCATCTGTCAAGCACATGCATTTCAATTTTTAAAGGAAACATGTAATTAGTTGCCTTTTATGATTTGCTTTCTAGTGGTAAGGCATCTCCTTGTAGGATTTGTTGTCCCATTGAGGGGAAAACAATAGACCTACTCCCTACCCAAGAATGTGTCATAAGAGTCGACTAGCTGGGAGTTTCCTTTGAAGTTAAGAGAGCATCTGCCTGATAGTCAAGAACAAACAGTCTGCATTTAAAAAAAAAGTCAGATATGTAAATTGGATGTTCACGCACCAAACAGGTTCTGGAGCAAGATCAGAGTCCAGAAATGGATGAACAACCACAACATTCCGTCAGAGTTTACAGCTGGTGAATGTGGTGAAGAAGAGTGGTGGGGGGAGGGAGGGCGTTAATTCTTTGTTCATCCCAAAATGTGGCCCTAGAACTGACATGGAGGGTGGGGGAATACAATTTCGCACCAGTATTTCATGTTACATTTTATGTTGACTAATTAACAACACACATAGTGTGACTAGAAAATGAAAAAATGTGCACAAATACAGCAAAATATTTTGACCAGTCTTTATTCATGGACAGAGTAGCAGAATACTGTTCATAAAATGCATTTCTTTTACTCTAGATGTTCGTATGGCTGGTTTCCAGGTTCCTAACTTATTCTAATGAACTTGTACAATCACTATATAAACTGTTACTCAGTCTAGTGAGAAGTTTGTTTTCACTATATTGGACCATTATTTATTTTAATATTTTTATAGCAATTTGACTAAGTGCCTTCTCTTGGCCTACAAATGGGTCACATGCATTCATATTTTCCTTGTATTTTTCTATCATCTAAGCTTAACAATTGCATCTGTGCAGCTTCAGTTGTGTCTAATGCTCATTTGATGAGAAACAAAAATCAATATGTCACATACATGCTGCTTTATAGATTGTATGTAGCCATCTAATTTTGCTATCTCCTGCTGCTAAGATATTTTCTGTTCGTGGTCTGTCAGCTCCTGGTGCTTTATGTTTAAATAACAGTTTAATTACCTTTTCAACTTCTTCAATTTTACTTCTGGTTCTAATAGTGCAGATTTAAACTCTTGAGTTATCCCATCCAGATAATTACCAAGGGAATTAAACTAAAGATTGCCTCCAAATTTTTATTGCTATTAGTTTAAGTGGCCTTCCATTCTTATTGCTTATTTTTGTTGGGGTGTAGCTATTTTTCTTTTTTATTCTTTGACTATTCTGAAAAATATTCTGCAGTTTGTTCTCTTGAAAATTGTTGACTCCAGAATTCTTCCTGGTTCTTTTTTCTTCTTTCTTGATTATTATGTTGACTTCTCCTCACAGCAGAAAGCTGTGCAGCCAACTGACATGTGATCATTTTTTTCTCAGAAAGTCTGGCATTAGGCAGAAGATTGATTAGGCTCATAATGCTCTTATCGGTCGACATAAACATATAAATGCATAGAATATAGATGTGGGAGGATGAGGACGAGGAAAAAAAAATATGTGAAGAGGTAGAAGTGGATAAATAATAGATGAGGATGAAGACGAGGAGGAAAATAAGGATAAAGAATGAGGAAGACAAAGAAAAGAAGATAAAGACAAAGAAAAAAAGAAAATAATACAAAATATAGTATTTGCCCCAGTAGTGTAATATCACTGAACATGGAACAAAGAGGAAATATGAATATTAATTACTAAATGGAAAATCCTGACACTGAAAGATAAATATGAAATTTTCTTAAAGACATATAGATGTTAAATGTACAGGGTGAGTAACATATACACTACAAGAAAAATGGCATGCAGATCTCTACTTTTAGGGTGAAAACAACATTATTTTCGAGTAATGATAAATTTAAAAAAAATTTAAAAAAAGCAGACAAGGTTATTATTGCACTTTTTTCTTCATGTTTTTTTCTCCAGTTACTTTATTGAAGTGGGAAGAGATGCAAGGATCTTCTGCATGGTTTTTCCACTATATAGTTTAAGCTGGTCTTCATTTCTTTAAGGCTGTTCTTGTTGTTGTAGTTCCATTATCTATAGGGTCTTCCCCTTGTTCTGTGTCCATTATATTTCTTCATTGTGACTCTCTGTGGCAGTTGGTAGGGGAAATTTGTTTTTTTTCAGATGGCCAAACCATCGAATCTATTGCTCTTGAATAAACTGATTAGCTGGTTTCAGGTCAAGTCTTCTTTTAATTTTATCTCTTCTTGTTACTATGGCGGCATTCTAATACAGAATGTTGGGCGGCGTATACTAACCCAACATCCCATATTGTGCCAATGGCTTCGGGCGGAGAAGCGCATTGGGGAGGATACTAGCCTTATCCTAGGAAGAGGAAATGCAACCTGAAAACTTTGTGTTATGGCAGGGCAGACCAGGCCCTTTGCCTTGGCTGGCAGCTGGTCTAGGAGGGAAGCTCTGACAGGCAGACAGATAGAGCACTGCTCTTCTGATCCGGCAGCTTCTGCAACCTGCCTTGTTCCAAACGTACTGGTTTTACCTTTCCTTTGGAGTAAACAAGGCAGGTCAAGGGAGGGACCATTATACATGTGCAATATATAGTTTCTACAATACTGCCCAGGCTTTGTGCTATGGACTGTGAGTCTCATACCTCCTCATAGCTCAGTATAACACTATCGCCTGGAAAGGCGGAAAGGTGCCAGTGGAATTCTAATACATCTCATCTCTGTTTTATAAAAATAGTGTTTTTTAAATTTTCTTTGGTAGACAACGGTGTACTTCTGTGTGTTAGATGTGGTGTTAGTTGTCCTAGTACCTGGTTTGATTTCCTTATCCATTTTTACTTTTGATGTGAAAATTGACCCTAAAATTTTTAATTCATCAGTTTGTTTTGTAGTGCAGATGAAAATAACATTTTGTTCATTAAAAGCCTAAAACTAAATAAAGCAAGATTATTCGCAGTATTACATACTGTTATAACTGACCTTATTTTCTTGTATCTTTCAGTGAGGACACATTTCCGATCATGCATTGACACACAGCTGCTGCGAGATCATTATTTGTTGACACCAAGTGATTATTTGCTTCCAGTTCCATTGCCAGTGCCAGCCCCTGCTGGTAAGAAAGTTCAGCTTTTGATTCTTCTCTCTCTGTTTACGTGGAGCTGGTTGTGATATTTAGCATCAGCTCAACTCGTAATGGTTGCTTAGTGGTTAATGCACTCGCCTGGTGAGACAGTGGGTTAGGTTCAGTCCTCAGACATGGCCAGGTTTGTTTTACCTGTATGGCTCTGAGGTGGACTTAACCTCATAGAATAGGTACTGGATAATTTCTAGGATTGTTTGGGAATTAAAAGTGATAAGAAAGGAAACAAGCCACCCTACCTCATATGTTGTGGTCTAGAATGTGTGAAGGCCTGACACATCACACACTCCACCAGTAGTATCCACAATGAAGCTAACATTATTACCTTTAGCATCTCATATGGAATCTACTGTGTATGCTCTTGAAGATCACACGTTTACCAGCTTTGAGACTAATTTTGTCAGTATTTAAAGTAGTGATATGAAGCCTCTTGACTCGTATTTATTTTATCACTGAAAAAATCACTGTATGTTAGCACACAGATCACCTGACATGACTTGTAGAAATACTAAACAGCTATTTGAGCCATAAATTTCACTCCATGTGGTCTTATCAGAGTATCATTTATTAGAGCCTCTCCAAGTACAGGCTGTTATATCAACTGTTGCACAAACAAAATATCTTGACTGTAGCAAGTTATGATTTAATGAATGAAAGGAAAAGGTATTTTGGGATCATGTAGATAAACAATAAAACACATAGGTATGTTGGGATCTTTTTGGAGAAACAATAAACTATAAAGGGATATGGTGATGCTGTTGAGTTACAATAAAACACATTGGTATGTTGGGATCCTGTGGAGTAACAATAAAACACATAGAAAAGTTGTGATTGAACGTAGAAGCAATAAAACATATAAAAGTATGTTGGGATCCTGTGTAGAAACAGTAAAATATAAAAGTATGTTGGGATCCTGTGTGTAGAACAGTAAAATATAAAAGTATGTTGGGATCCTGTGTAGAAGCAGAAAAATATAAAAGTATGTTGGGATCCTGTGTAGAAACAGTAAAACATAAAAGTGTGTTGGGATCCTGTGGAGAAACTATAAGGCACAAATGTTTGAGGAATCTTGATGAGAAACAATAAAACACATTAATATGTTGGGATCTTGTGGAGAAAAAATAAAATGACTGGGTGTGTTGGGATCCTGTGGATAAACAATAAAACTCTTTGGTATGTTGGGATCTCATGGAAAAACAATTAACAAAAAAGTTTAGTTGCAATCTTGGGGAGAAACAGTGAAATACATCAGTACGTTAGGGTCTTGGGGAGAAACAGTAAAATAAATCAGTATGTTGAGATCTTGAGGAGAAACAGAAAAATAGAAACAATAAAACAAATCGATGTGTTGGGATTGTTTAGAGAAACAATAAAACACAAGTGTGTTGGAATCTTGGGGAGAAACAATAAAACAAAAAAGTATGTTAGGAACTTGTAAAGAAAAAAGCACAAAACTCAAGTACATACCTCACAAGAATATCGGTGCATCACTAAACCTGCACATAGCAGAGAACAGCATTTTTTGTTTGTTTTCCTGGAACTTGGGCCTTTAAACGCACACCTCATAATTCACTCCAGGATGGGTGGGGTGTAATTTATTCTACCTTTAAATGAGATCATATTATCCACACAGATGCCTTGGTATATTAAAATTAACTAGTTAGGAGCACCTTAGTTTTGAGAAATGTGCATG